ATTCTTCTTTCTCAGAAGTAGGCTCAACATTATTCGCTCCATTCTGGAACAAACTTTATGACTGCATAGCTACGTGACTAGCAAGGCTAAACCGTACAGTTTTGATCAATGCTGACTGATCTGAGCATCCACGTCGATGCGTTTGGAAAAACAGAGTTCTCTGAAGCATCAAGAACTTCCATGTGACAAAATATTATCCACTGCTTCCATTTATTCCACGAAGAAAATTAAAATAAGCACGTCATACCGCTTTGGGCTGAGGTGTAAGAGCTCGCTCGTCCGTACTCGTGTCGATAAGAGGATCATCAGAGTTTGGACATTCCTTAACAATTCCAGAAAAAGCCCCATAAATTGAGCAAAGAAGCACTGAATAACTATAAACACAAACATCTACCGCCCTCTCTCCAGAAGAGCGACTTGGCGAAACTAGAACAAACCAGAGAGAAAAGAAGAAGTCAGCCACTTGGTAGAGTAGTTCAGGAGAGCAGCACGCGCCGGCGCCTCTGATCAAAATAATGACCCCCCCCCCTTCTCTCATGCTCTGCTTAACAAAACTCAGACGACCACACTAACAGCGTGGCCCTCCTCAACTACGCTAACATCGATAAGAGCTGAACCTACGGGCAGAGACAAAAGAACAAAACACTGAACTTACTTTCCTCAACTCCGAAAAGTATTCCATTAAATCCTGACTGGTAGGTCTTCGGTCCGGGTCGTCGTGCCAACATCTGTAAAGCTATGTTAGCCTCCTGAATAAAATCAAGCGAGCACTGCAGTGCGGCATGGCAATCATTTTTGCAGGAATTGGGATAGAAATTCGACAGTAAGGTTGCACACGAAAAAGGACACTTCATTAGTGAATGAGAAGAAAACTGAAGAGGAAACTTTTCACAACCAATTACTTTCACGGGACACAGGAAATATCATCTGCAGGGAAGACAATTTTCCTCAATGGAAACCCTCCCAAAATCTGCCGTGGAGAGGAGACACCTTCAACTTCTCCCAGCGACCAACCAATCCATATCCGAAAGATGGTGAGGTGGCTGCGTACTAATTTTGAGCACACCAGCGGCTGCAGTTCAATGTGATATCCCCGTTCTAGATCAAATGAAATGTCTTGCTTTAGCTTAGGACGTAGTGACCGTTATGTCACGGAAATATCCCACAAAAACGCATTCTATGCTATTCTTAATAAAAATACGCAGCCACGCCCTTCCTATGTTCTGGGTATGGAGTGTACAACCTCCCAGTGCTGCGAACCCCACCAGTGATGTCTGCCTTGATAGATCAAGATGAAAATGGAGGCAGAAGGGCAACATAGCCAACGAGGAAAATGTACACATGAAGAAGTGTAAGGATCCAAAAAAATGTGTCACATTCTCTTCTGAAAAGCTCACCTTTTATAGAAACTTGACAACACCTCGTCACAGGAGAGCTTTGGTGGCCGCAAATTCTTAGTTACAATATTCCAATAAATTACATTCGTATCATGCTGATCTGACGCCGAATATGGTGATTCACTGAAACATTTTTCTCCGCCTTTTTAGACAACTATAATTCTAATATTGATTACCACACGACAGCTGTCGATTTGTCCCTGCGCGACAAATCGACACCTATCAGAACAGCGCCGGCCTTGTTTGCAATTGAACGGACCCGGAAAAGGCTAACGTTTTCTCTTGGGAATGAATGAAAACAAATCTCAAGCATTCATACAGACCACGATGTGATCTTTACATGTAAAAATCCAAAATCGCTGTAAAATAGCCTTGAAACCCGATTACAAAGACACTCATATTCCTATAGATACACGAAAACAACTAAACTGACGACTATATATAAGCGACGGCTTATAAATAAGGGGCTGGTGAATACAAGAACCATCAAGTATATATCAAATCTCTTGAACAAAATTGCTTGAGAGCCATTTACTCACCGTCGCGCTATAATCTGCCACATAATTATTCCGAAGCTATATATGTCACATTTCGTCGTGTAGTTCTTTGATCCTCTCATGATTTCTGGTGCCATCGTCATGAATGTTCCGCGATGCAATGTCATCGACTCATGTAGCGGCGTGAACGTGCCAAAATCACACACCTTTAGTGTGTGGTACTGATTACAAAGTAGTAGGCTGGAAATAGCAGCTAATAGTTGGTTTCAACCTTGCATGCATTTTATTTGGGAATTCTATTGACACAGTTTCAATAGTAGTAAGGATGCGTTCATAATTTGCGGCAGCGTTTTGCGCGCTTTCGGCGATCACCAGCGCATGCTAAGGTAATCGATACCTATACTTTCGTAGTCGCTCTTGTCGTGGGGTCATCTCTAGCACTTTTCACTCCTTGCGCTCTCGCATATTCGATGGTTTAGGCCTACAATAAGATCTCCTGTGTGCAGGGGGAGTATTTTGGACGCTTGGCGCAAGAATGCAAAAAAAATTGCTTCGCTAGAGAATCAGTCGCGTGATACACATATGAGTCACGCGGTCCCCGTAATGAGGTTGCACTAGAGGAAGTTAGACTTAAAAAACTCCATGCTTTCTTTCAAAAAAAACTGCAGTTGTTCTGGGTGTCTCAAGTCGAACAAGGCAACCTCTGAAACTACAGGGTTCAGAAATGTGGAAGGAAGCTGAGAAAATATTCCGAGGTCGAGCAATTGTTGGCCAAATGGATGAGGGGACCGTGACATAACAAAAAACGATCAATAACTTTGAGTGATTTCAAGTTGTAATCAACAACAGTTACGGAATATTGCTCAAGCCAAGTTTTCTCCCGAAATATAACATTGGAATAGTAATAAACTTACTTCTGTAAATTTCATATCCCCGTGCACATAATCTCTAGTGTGAAAGTAGTTTATAGCATCAGACAATTGATACAACCACGATATAGCATGGTCAATTTTATACTCTATCGATCTTTTCGATATCACTAAATGCAATTACATGATCAGAAAGAAACAGAACAGGATTGTCGAATATGCAGTCAAATTTTCAGATACAACAACATTCTTCTTAGGTGATTTTTCGGGTTACTGTATCTACTCAGTCATTACACTCACTGTAGCAATAAGAGGCGTGTCACCAGTATGCATGTGCCAGACTAGAAACCTGTTCTGCCGTTTTGTATAAGCTGGTAGGCCAAGAGGTAGAAAATGAGTGATATGAACGGATATGATGGCAGGACTGACGCTTTTGCTTCAGCAACGGCTGCAGAGGTTTGCCACGCAAACATCACTACTGTTTGACAACGCCCCGCTTCGTCCGCAGCGAACGAGACTCATATGCAGTTTCTCAGTAACATCTCCAAGCCATGCGGCGAATCTTGGCAAAGTTGGGCTACATATTGTCAGGCGTTGTTCTTTTAGAATGATCATGCCTAGACTAACAACGCAAGGCCTTCTAGCGTAAGTTTATTGATAGCAGATATCGGAGTATGGTGCTGTCCCGGAGTCTCATTTCTTATCTGAGTGTGTAATAACAATGTGAAACTCCAAAAGTTTATTCCAAAAAACTCAAAAGAATGAAAGTCCTCAAAAGTTTAGTTAATATATCTTAACTTGCAATATTTCGGTGCGTAGCACCTTCGTCAGGCCTGAAAATTTAGCTTGTTTTGTTGGTTATACCTTCTACAAAGTGCAACCCGCACGGACCCACCTCACCAAGGCCAATTTAACCCAGTTTGATCCCGAAAATGATGACCCACCCACCCCAGGGACCATGCCCTTAAGCGGTGGGATGCTTGTGGCGCGATCACATTAGTCTATCACTTGCATGACTGTCACTGGGGGCGTGCCGACCCCCCACGCAGGTCAGCGTCTCCCTGTTGTTTATTTCTGGCGACAGCCGTCTTTATTGTTCAGCAAGCTCCATATTTTTTCTATTGTGGTTCTCACACTGAGGCGTGAGTCCACTGTGATGGCTTAACTGAGGGGGAGGGGTCTTTTGGTGACTATGCCTCGGAGAGAGAAGTACTATTTACCGGCGTGCCGAAGGTCGTTGATTCGCCCAGTGAGCTCTCCCCGGTGTTCGTGGTCGATCCTTTTATAGAGGGGCTCTGATAGATAAATTGGGCGACAACAATGCTTTTAAATCGAGTCGGCCGCGAAGGTAACTGCAAAAACTAAATCGCATCTAACAATGTCTAGATTCGGATGGAAAGGAAACTGAGAATGTAACTGTAGCTATAACCCATAAATAATAAAATAACAATTGGTAAATATTATCCTCAAGAATAGATCGACTAGCATTCTCCTCCATGTTCTGGAGGAGCGGAATGGATAGTCGAGTGTATGTCTTGGACCGACGCCAATAGCCGACGCGTCTCTGTGGTGTACGCTTGCGTAACGACCCAGAATCCGAACGAGCCGTTATTTATAAACGTTCCAGGCTGCATCGTTCTGCTCGCCCGCCCCGGCCTCTCGCCGTCCCCGACACCCTGTCGACAGCAGCCGGCCCGAGGCCCAGCCGACCGGCGAAGCCGCACTCCTGCCACCATGATCAATAATGCAGTCGTCAACTTGATTCTCAGAAGAAGTCCGTAGAACCTACCCAGCGACCTTACTCGCAAATGGCTAATGTCAGATTCATTACGTTAATATTCGACGAAGGTGGCGTGCTAGAAGCGCAGCGCCCTCACAGCGCGCGCGCCGCTCCGGGTCAAATCCGGATACCGCCAGCTTTCGCCGCAAGCGCCAAATTGCGTCACCGGCTGCCCGCGCGGTAAATGGGGGGGTGCGGGCCACATTCAATTCAACAAGCCACTACGATTTTGAATGAAAGTGGAATGCGTGCCGCAGCCCAAAAAAGGTATTGTTCAAAGCAAAGACTTTATGCGTTCATTTTTTATTGGTGTGAGTCGTTTCCAAATCGACTACCTAGTCTGTTGCCACCTTTGCGTGCTTTGTATGTTTACTATTTGAAAAGTGCACAGAGCTTCTTTGAAAAGAAAGGTGATGTCAAGACGTATATTACTCACAGTAAGCAAGGTTGCAATCCATCAATTCCATTGCAACACCCATTCCTTTCTTCGGGCAATCATAAAATCCAAAAATCTTTTATACAGTTCGGGTGCGAAATATGAGTGAGAATAACTTTCGCTTCCCGTATTAAGCTTTGTGTATCGAGAGTCATTACCGTACTTTATGGCGATATTTCTGGAAACAATTACGTGCACTCATGCTAAATTTTTATGCGAAAGAAACCTCATAGAAAAGCAAAAGGTGAAACGATATAAAATACTAAAACCAAGATTAATCAGTAATGCGAAAGCCAGAAGTGAAATACTTACTCCCACAAAGAATCGGGCGTAGGACGGAAACGACATTTAATTACGTAGCCATATGTACCTTCTCCTAGCTTTGTGCTGTTGAGATCATCGATCTGGCTGTAAATGTGATATGTATCAAACACCGTTTTTCAAAGGAAGGAACGAATTGGAATTTCAGTTGAATCTTAGATGGCAACAGGGATCCACACTTTGCTGTTTCCGGAAAAGAAGGTGTACTGAAGAAGTAATGAGTAGGGGAGTTCATACTCACAGAGATTGGCGAAAAGCAGAGTACGTAATTGGGAGAATGCGGCGAATCGGCCGACATGCACGGTAAGAATCCCCTCACTAGAGATGCGGCATCTCAACAGCATTGTGCTTTTCCGAAATCGCGGAATTCTTCCACCGAGATGACAGCTATCCGCTGTGGATGCTGGGGCGTGTCAGGAGAGGGGACTTGGAATCAGGGTACAGCATCGTTGTGTGAAACACATAGGGGGTCGTACTTTTTCTCTGGGGAGAGGGGGTCGTATTTGGTCGTTGGGAGAGGGAGGGGGGAGGGTCATGTGTGCCTTTGAGAATAATTTGTCGCGTTGGTTTTAATGTTGTTGACTTTTTGCGTAATTTTTCATGTTCCTTGTGCACTATATACCTCCGCCACCCATGTCTCCCTCTTCCCCGCGCTCGATGGAAAACCTTTGGGTGAAAAACCAGAAAATGAGGGAAATTTGTAGGTAGGTGTTGGGGAAGGGGGGGGGGGGGTCGTACCGAGACCCTCATTTAGGTGGGGGGAGGGTCGTACTGACACCCTCTCTCGGAGGAGGGGGGGCCTACACCACCACCTCACACATCACGATGCCGTGCCCTGCTTGGAATGGCGCGCTGTCGGCCCATTTCCCTTCGATCGATATCACTTGCTCCTTTCAGTAATAGGTGGTGAATGGGCTGGCGCTGCGCCAAACCCACCCTCCCTGACCGCCCCAACATCAGCAACGAACAGGTCTCCAGATATGTGTCCGTATTGCAATTTGTAAGATGAGCAGTTGGGCAACTGATCTTCACCCCGACTTCAAGATCGGTGTATAAATACTTAAGGCTAGGTTCATACTTTGCGTAAGCGTTTTGAGGCACCGTTTTGAGCGACTAGGAAAATGTACGTATCGATCCAGAGTACGCCAGCGTAGGGCAGCGTTTTGAGCGACTGCCCGCAAGAAGCTCAAAAGAAGCCGAGAAACGCTCAGAACACTTTACTTGAAAAATTTACCAGGAAAAATGCCCAGAGTCTTTGGCAAAACAAAATACAACTTAAAATTTCAAAACACTGGCGTCCGCTCCAAACGCTGTATCGATATCTATACTCTCCCACTCGCTCAAAACCTGTCGTAGGCTCGAAACGCTTAAAACGATGGCTAATGCCGTTTGGACTCCAGAAATTTCGTCTTCGAGCTCATTTTCAAATTGCCTAAGTCACCAAATCCACTAAAAACTTGTATATAGGGGTAATTCAACATCCTGATTACGAGTATGACACTCATTCTTGGCGCTGGCGCCAAGAGAGGACACTACGATTACCTCCTGGGCTCAGCCTTAGCAGAGCGCAGGTAACCGTAGTGTCATCCATTAGCGCCAGCGCCAAAAACTATCATATTCGTGATCAGGATGTTGAATTACCCTACATACAAGTTTTTAGCGGATTTGGTGATCTTGCCACTTTTAAAAATGAGCTCGAAGACGAAATTTCTGGAGTCCAAACGGCATTAGCCTAAAACGCTGACGCAAAGTATGAACGCACTCTAATGCTCGGCCGTCAATGACGTCGAGAACCAAAAAACTACCAGCCTTTAGGCAGCTTTCCATAGTTCATACAGAAGTTCACCCCATAATTTAGGTTGAAAAGCACTGGAAAGGAATGTGAAACGATAAGAAAGATGAAAATAACCTTTGATTGATGATAGGCACGTCGCTAGTGGCACAAAGACCATCATCTTGCCTCGACTTCTTTGGAAAATTTCTTCGGGGTGGAGGCGACCTACTGGAGCAGGGTGAGGAGCTCATACAATCGAACTACTCATAAGCACATGAATCTGTAAAGAAACATTTACTGGTTACGGGGTAACCATGGTAACAGATGAGAGAAAGAGTTACTTATAAGGTCGGAATCAGTTGATAAGACTATCTAGCAACACTACAGGAGAAACACTACAGGAGAACACAACATCCAATTCACTTGAGTGCAGACAACATTCAACGAAATTATATGCGCTTGCGATTTTATGCCGTATTTTACTCCATTGTGCAATAATGCGTAGGCCGTAATATCGGCGGGAGCGCGGAAATTCTTTCAACCTCGCAATTTTTCAATATTTCTCATTTTCGAGCGGTAGTTGTACAGTATCAGTGCTTTGGAATCCCACACTTGCAGGCCACATTGATGGGAGTGGAAAGCGGAGGTGCAAAGGAAGAGGACGCAGAACAGGAGGATAGTGCCAATAATGTTAGTTGCTCAAATTTGTTCAGGTTACTCGAATAAGTGATAGATATGGCTTTTTAATTCACTGGGCGTCGCAGATTAGCTTAATACGCTGAAAACACAATTTTGCAGTAGCAAGGGAAGAATTACCACAGGAGGGAGTTCTACATTGTTGATAAGTAATTAATTTGAAATGAAGATTTTCTCGTGCTTGCTCTGTTTCTACTTCTAGTCCAAGCCTGTGGAAAAGGAAGATTGCCAGGGTCAATTTATTTTCGTCAAATCTTAGCATGTTACGCATGGTGCTGGTTTTAGGGGATTTCTGAACAGCTTAAAAAAACTCAATTACTGACCTCATTTTTTGCTTCAGGCGACGGTCTCATCATTCTCAACTGCCCCCGAACAAGAAGTGTCTACTTCGCGTAGCAATTTGGATAGTGAACCGTAAGCATGACATTATTCCAGAAGCGCTGACTCATTTTTTTTCCTTGATTGTTGCCAAACCATTTCGCTAACTAAGGACCCTGGAATCTACTCAATCGGACAAGTCGCCAGTTAGATCTCATGATCGGTCGTTCAGCGACGACTCTAGGTATGAACATTGCATTTCATCGATTGATATTCATTTTGCTCGAGAAGACTGCATTGAAGGCATTGTGAAGGAACTCCTCCAACATGTAGAAATGGTGTAATGGATTTGTCCCGTCGTGGTTTGAACCAACTTGATCGAAAATTTCGGAAAGAATACGGTGGGTGGTTTGCTATCATAGCGAAAATCAACTTTTGGCATTGGTTCATGACCCGATTAGTTCTTGTTACATCCAACTATCCTGTTTCTGACCTCGTTCGCGCTCTCCTCTACCCTTCGATTTCCAAGTGAAAGATAGGTTCTCGTGTTTTGAGTAGACGTTTGGCTCCTGGCATTTGCACCATCAAGGCAAGGCAGTTCGGGTGCCATGTACCGGCGCGATTAGCAGATCATATCTGTGTCTTGCTTGACACGTTTTTTTGAATCTTTACAAGGCTTATACTTCACTAAGCTGTACGGTGGAAGGCTTCGTGTAACAAATGTGAAGCGGCAAAACTGCCCGCTATGCGACTCTTACCACGGTACAACATCGTTGGGTGGATCCCATCGGGAGTAGTAATCGGTCGTTGGGTGGGGGGGGAGGAGGGGTTCACGGAGGTCACACCGGCAAGGGCACTAGGTCGGTCGAATGCGGCAGAAGGATTACAGAACTGTACCATTGCAGTCATGAGCACTAAATTTCCTGGTAATCTGCCGGTGAATGGTAAACAGAAGGAGAAGGGTAAGTATGATGACCGATTAACAACAGTAGGAGAAAAGTAGCTGGAAAGCATATCCCACGAGTAGGCGGAACATTTCTAGAATGAAATACTTATTCCACTGCGATTGCTGCTTGTATTGACCATTCCGCGCTCCGGCGCTACCGGCAGAAGGCGAACATGGGCTGATAAGGAGCTAATCCATCAAATCGCAGTGATGGCAGCGCCTGTCAATGTCCATTCCTTCGTCGGACCATAGCAGCGACATTATAGGGTACGCGCCCTCGGTGACTTTTTCTCTCCCCGGGTAGAGAGGAAGGGTTATATCTGATTCAGAGAGTCTTCCTTGGCCGTTAGGTGAATGATGAGTCGTTCTCCTTGGCCGTTAGGTGAATTTTTTTCGGTTTTTGATTTTCCCCGTTCCCTGAAAAACTGGTAGAGGGCGAAAATTTGAGGTAGAGAGCCGCACTGATATGCTTTTTGTTGCTGTATCCTGGCCCTAACTATCACTGCCCCCAGTTCCTTCCAATTTTTATAATTAGTACCCATCTAGCATAGACAGCTTTCTGAGAGGAGAAAGATTCGAGCTTTGCGATGCTTGTCTCATGAGAAATGTGGCAGTGCAGATAGTGTTCCCTATCACAGAAGAAGCGTTTATACTGCGCGTCAGTGTCTTGAGCCACAGCAGCATTTTGAGGCGGATGTTATCATGATCATAACTTTTGTTTTAGGTTGTGTAAAGAAGCTCATCATTAGGTGTAATGAATTTAAAAATGTGGCAGGCTTCGATATGTTCAAGCAGTGCGTTCAGGTGAATGCGTTGTTTTCTTATTGTTTCTCATATTTTGTTTAGAACACCTCACTGATACTCATTGTTTGTAGGTGGATGCCTCTAACAACCACCTGCACAAACTATCATCATTCCTCCCTTTGGCGAAATCTTTGAAAGCGTTATATCTCTCTAATAATATGATCTAATATTGACTGTTTGAGGTCGTTTGTCAATCTAGAAACTTTAGATATTTCATCCAATTATATTGAGGTACGTTGGCGTTCTTCATATGAACTTATTTGCTTCCATGGCTTTGATAATAGGTTTTTTTCAGAGCATTCCAGTTGGGCTCGACAATCCTCGTCTGTCATGCTTAGATTTAAGTTCGAATGCAATAACATCCTTGCCGGATTTACTCAAGTTAAGATCTTTAACACGTTTGGATATCTCATCAAATAGAATCTCATCATTAAAGGTTCGTTTCTATTTCACTACTTTAGTTTTTATTTGCTGAGCATACATCAGCGCAAAACGCCAAAATGCTATCAATACCTGCTCAGAGAGTTTGCAAAGTATGAACGCTGTCTAACTGGGTATATCGTACTGCAAATTGAGGCAGAAGTTCTTGTTCTACGGCGCTCTTTTCTCTCACAAATATTATACTTCAATGAATAGAGCAGTTTTCGTTTCGGATTGTGCTCATAAACTTTATTTTTGAAGTTTGTCAGGCCGCGTTCATACGTTGCGAATGTAGAGACTTTGCGAATTTGGTGAATGCGTGAGAATACGTAAACGAGAAAAGTATACGTATCGATCTGAACATCGCAAGTAGCGAGAATGCGCGAATCGGGAAATTGCACTAGTTGGTGCGCGATTTCACGATAGGGCATTCTCCCGATTCGGAAATCCTGCGCTTTTGTAAACTACGTATAGGTGCGCCCTTGCTCTCTACTCAATCACCCCTTTTTAGGATGCGCTACGCATTCCTATTTCCTTTCAAAGTAGTGGTTTATTGAATGCGATGTGGCCTATGCAATGATTGTGGGGACCAGCCGATGTATGAGTCAGCGTTTTTACTCTTCAATTCGAATATGCTTCCAATGCACCATCTACAGAGAGCAGAAGGCTTGGCTGGCCAGGGCGCAATTTCATCCCTAGACCGCGCGCGTGGTAAGCGTGCTACTTACCACTACACCTCACCTCCGTTTATTGGAATAAGTTGTGAATTCCTGATGATGAGGACTCGATTTTCAATGATTCAGTTTTGTGCTGCTTATTCGAACATATGTCACGAATTTAGGGAGCCGTTCTTCCGAAGCAACTGTTATCTCTGAATATTGCCTCCAATCACATAGATGATCTCACAGAATTCATGCGATTGCTACCTCTAGAGAAGATGGAATCGATTTCATTGGGTATGCAAGTACACAATAAATTTCTGTGGTCACATTTCGAATACTGTTTGATTTTCAGCCAATAATCCCTGCATATCGAGTCCGTCGTTTGACTATCGCATATATATCTTGTCGGTGTTACCTTCACTGCAAGACATTGACGGTTTCATAGTAACCGAAGAGGAACAACTCAAAGGTTTTCGCTACATTAGTTTTTCTCAAACTTGCAAGCGTCATAAAAACGAGTTCTCAGGTGAATGGCTATATAGCCAAGGAAAAGGACGATCGTTCAAGCCTGATACTGGAGCGCATACGGCTCTTGTGAAGTATTTGGAGCGATATTGTCCATTTGATGTGGAAGGCAAGCTGGTCTCAACTTTGGACCAGTCTGTAGTGAAGGTAGTGGAATTAACTAGCGATTTTCGAATTCATGTTAACCAGCTTGTCAGCTCTCAGATATTAAGGTGATGGAAAAAAGGCGAGAGATGCTCAGTCATAGCGGGTACGATGATGACTCTTCTCAATCTCTCAGCGTACATTCCCCCTACGGAGCATGGGCCGCTCATTTAGAAGGGAAAGAAAATCGAATCCCAGTTCTTAGTGGCACGAAACATTTGTAGTACTTGATTACTATGTATTTGCTTTCTTTATTTCGTTGTGTGTACTGTAGCTTCACTATCAACTGAAATTAACCTAATTTAGCGGATGGGCTGTACTTTCTTTTTGATAGGGAACAGATTGGGTTGTACGTGCCTTCATTTACTTGAAGGTTATATAACTGAGGACATTTGTCCGTAATTTAATTCAAGTGGCTATCGAATTTTTCGTGACAAAACCTTCGCCACTAACATTTAGTCAGTCCTCACACCACGAATGATTTGCTGCAGTTTTCTTTTTTCTGTCTTGGAAACACCATCCCCGCGTCGAGCTTACTCCTGAGTTTGCGGCGCAGAGCTTATGAAATAGGCGTTGCAAGCGAAGTGTGCCCAGCATCGCATACTAGGACCCACCCGCTTCCAACGTCAGTCAGTGCTGCGCGCCTCGACTCCCACGTCTTCGTCCTGCTCATGATCTGCATAGCTTCTTTGTGTCTACTTAATAGGCCGAGACATAACTGTGGTGGAGCGCGGCGATGCCGCGACTCAGAACTGAACGCACTGCCCACCAATCGCCTCGTTGCGTACCATCATCACGCTATGGACTTGCTCGCCTTCGTTCTCACGCTCGTAATCCTATCTATCAGCTGTTGTCCCTTTCCGTCCCCTTCATATAGTCGCATCCAATTGCGCTAGAATTTTCGGTCAGGCAGACATACAAAAATAGCGAGCTACGTAGAGTCTAGCTCCACGCGGACGAAGGGGCGTGTTAGACGGGATGAGTTTGGCGCGGTGCCAAACCCGTTCTCCCACTTGTTGAAGCGAGCAAGTGAACTTATAATATCGTTCGTATCATTCTCTTACACCAACTGTTGTCGCTTACCCGCTTCAATAAATGGTGACGGGTTTGGCGCCGCGTCAAACCCATCTCGCAAGCCACGCCTCATCATCCGCAGCGAGCACGACTGTAGTAAGGATTGTAAGAGTGTCATTTCTCTGCTGTTACGCATCTACACCTAGCTACATCAGTAGTGTTCCAGAGCAGGGTGTTTTGCCTTATCCAAGGCCTCATTTTATCCTCAGCATTCTTTCTGTTCCTTGACTCTCCCACCTTCGCCTAGTTTACCCTTTTATGACGGAACATAGCATGTCCTTCATGTAATCACCACGGTATACATCAAATTCTGGTTGGGGATCGACTCAGTTAATCCCAATAATGGAGAAAAAGGTTACCTCAACTAAAAATAACCGCTCTCCTCCGTTTTGTCTTGTCTAGCAAAGGTGCATAAAGTGAGTTCCGCGAAGTAGACCAGGGAGAGTTCACTTCGTGCCTCATTTGATGTTGATCGGTCAACCATTAAGCGTTTTCCAGTGAATCGTCGTTCTACTTCGGCGCGTTCACCGTATTCATCCACGCCTGATCGGAACGCACCTAGAACATCGAGGCCTGCGTCTCAATTCGAGCCACTTTCACGAACGTCGACCATGGACTCGGTGGACTCATCTACAACTGTAACACTCGTTCCAGCAGCAAAGCCTTATCAAGAAAAGTAAGTACAATAGTTTTCAAGCCAACTGCTTCGTCTTGTCTACAAACGATTGCATCTCTGCGAATTGAATTGACTATGTGAAATTCAGCTCGAAAGGTACACGCGTCCACAGCGACGACTGCAAGGGTTGACCGCAGTGCACGAATGTCCTTACAGGAACGGCAAGTGCCTTTACATGACGACTTAAGTCAGGATCGCTCTGACCAGCATCAACGAGTAAGCTTTTCGCTTAATTCAGTTGTCTGCTGTTGATTCAGGTATATCAGTCCATTTCCTCGTCCACGCCAACATCAAGAATGCCCGCACGTCTCGCACGACCTGTGTGAATGCGTCAGTGTGAGCATGTCAAAACTGAGCAAACTACTGGTAGCCGGAGTTCAGATGAGGTATGAAAATGACACTCTTCACGCTTGGGCACAGTTGATTCATAAATAGGACGATGTTCATTTTGTGACGAATATATGAAGCACAACAGACCCTGGCATAAGGGATCAAGTCTACGCCGTTGATCAATCCTTTTTGGGATAAGGCATGCATTCTACTTCCATTCAGAATCGCAATGGCTTGATAATGCTATGCGGCCCATAAAATGACTTGCGGGGGGTCGACCGATTTAGTGGTCTGTGTTCTTATCCTCCCAGACGAATCTGGTACCAATTTATCGTCTCCGGAGAGTAGTTCTGGGCGCGAGCCGATCCAGCATTCGACTTCCGGATTGCGCGTGTGCTGAGCATGCCACTTGCTACTACACCTCGTCGTCTCAGTAGTAGGCAGTCTAGTACACAAAAGAGCTCTTGATAGTTAAGTTACCAGCGAAAAAACACCATAGGAAGTACCCCAGGTAAACCACACCGCTACCCAGTGACTATGAAATTATATAAAAGCAGGAAAGGCCGACTGTGGGCGGAGCATGGCCATCACGGTAGACCTTGGCAACCTTATCACGCATCGTCGAGCCGCGGCTTCTCTCCATCCGCTGGGGTTGCAGACTGCTCCAATTTGTACAGGGAAAGTAGTCTACATAACAGGCAATCGCGGATTGTGTCTTCAAGTTAAAGGCAGTTGGCACGATAATATGGTACTCGGCCTAAACTGCTAGCAGAGTGTACATAAAAGAAAAAAAACGAAGTGAAATGGTCGAAAACTGAAAAGCTTCGTTCTTAAAAAGCAATTTCGGAACGAGTTTCCCGTAGGCACCCTGTAACCGCTACGGTAGGTACGGCTGCATGTATGTACTCATATATCCATGCAGCACCGCAGCCGCTTCATATCAATCCCTTCGCTTCATATTTTGCTTAGCAAATGAAGCAATACGAGCATCAGGTACGGTCGTCCATTTGTGGGCGGGCGGGCGTGGTGGGCGTTCGGGTATGTTGTAGCTTGATAGGGCCCTTATAAGGGTACCTTCCTGGGAAAGGCGTTACGCAGCGCCTGCTTAGGGTCGCGGAATTCTGTCCTGCCAGGCGTATTGACCCTACTCGTTTTTGGAGATTTATCGTGCCAACTGCCTTTAACTCATGCAAACCCTTAGAGAGGTGTGAACAGTTTGGAGGGCATTTTACTTGAATGATTCGAAAAAAATTGTGATCTATCCCGCATTTTGGAAGAATAGGCCCAAAAGAGGAAGTTGCTGAGGAGGCTTTTGCACGTGCTTTTTTATCGCTCTTACCGAGCTTTGCTATTAAGCGCAAC